TTTTTTTTTTTTAACCATATAATGTATTATTTGTTTCAGAGGTACAGATCTGTGATTCAACAGTCTTGGGCACAATTCACAGCGCCAAGTGAAAGATCTTAATTGAGGTTCTGTCGACCTCCTCAAACTTGGATGAGAAAAAAGATTATGTCTTTAATTTAAATCTCTATGTAAAATTTAATAATCTCTTCAGTTATAAATTCAGGTCACAAATCACAACAGTACAAGCAGAACTGTGACTCTGACATGAGGAGAAATCAGATATTTTCATATCATGTTCCATTGTTGCAAAGAGTCACACCATATTCTTTATGCTAGTATTTAAATTGTGCTCATAGAAATACGTATTATTTTATCACACATTTGTTTTTTAATATTTGATAAAAATATTTTATTGGAAATTATCTCTTCTTTCATCCTATGTATTTTATTTTATGCATTTAACACTACTCTTAGAAGCGTTCATAGATTTCACCAGAATGCCAAATTGGTCAATGATACCAAATAAGATTAAGATTTCCCTGAGAAGATAAATTTTTTTTTATTATTGTTTATTTATTTGACAGAGAGAGACGGAATACAAGCAGGGGGAGTGGGAGAGGGAGAAGCAGGCTTCCAGCCTAGCAGGGAGTCAGATGCGGGGCTTGATCCCAGGACCCTGGGATCATGACGTGAGCCGAAGGCAGCTGCTTAATGACTGAGCCACCCAGGTGCCCCGAGAAGATAAAAAATTAAAAATATTTTGGCACTCCTACCAATGAGAGCGATGGTCTGTGTTTTCTCCCTTTGAATCTAGGTAGGTTTGTGACTGACAAATAAAGAAGTGACCATACAGAACTTTAGAGGTGAAGTACAATAAGGCAATTAAGCTTCCTCCTTGTTCTTTGGGACATTTGTTGTTGCAGCCATGACCTGCCAGGTAAGAAGTCTACCTACCCTAGGGCTGCCATGCTATAAGGAAGCCCAAGCTACATGGTGAGGCCTCTTATAGGCAAAAAGATCAGGAGTCCTAACTGAGCTCAAGTTCCAGACATGTTGGAGGAGCATCCAGATGATTCCAGCACCCAGTGTGTTTGTATTACCCTCAGGCACTTATTTGGCAGCTGAAGTGCAAGACACCAGGAAAGAGAGACGAGCCATCTCCTCTTGTGCCCTATCTGAATTCTTGACATACAGAAAATGGATCAAAATAATATGGTGGGGGGTTTTATGCCACTGAATTTCGAGTGATTTGTTATGCAACAAGAAGTGACAAGAATAGAGTTTAGGATGAACCAAACATGAATCCAGTTAGTTTTTGGCATGCGTCTCTCCCAGTAGATAATGTCAATTGAAACAAAATGGGCTGTGAGTAGCCTGAGAGCCAACAGTTTTTACGAAGAATGTACAAGTTGCACTTTGACTGACCAGAACTCAGACTATGTGGTTCTGATTAGATGCTCTCAGATTATATGGAAGCATCCTGAGACAGCCCACTCTTGCTGTCAGGAGGCTACTTTGGTTTCTCTGTCAAAGGGTCATTTTTATTCTAAGCTATTTTTTCACCATGTGTGGGATACCAGGCCAATGCCTGATTTGATACCAATAAAACATACCTTTGTCCTGGGATGAATGGATCTTCTTAAAGAATTTAGATGAAAGAACTGCTTATCTGCCATATAACCGAATCTGTGAGATTCTCTTGGACACCCCTGAATATACAGTGCCTGGATCTCCCTTGTCATTATGTTCCTAGCTTTGCAGGTCTACCCTGCAACACAAAACACACGCCCCTAGGCAAGGAGCCATGGGCACGTCTAAGCCTCTCCCAAGGCATGGGGGGCATCTACAACTTACACATACCAAATGAGACTTTGGTTGCATTGTGGGCCTTCAAATCTGGCTATCTTATATTAATTTGGGTAATGGAGTGTTGGAAGTAGGAGAGTGACATGGTTTTTTAAAAAGTTTTTTTTTTTTTTTAACGTAGATTCTTTACAGGTCTTTTCAAGGCCGGTAATTAGAAATCTGCCATATAAAAGTATTCTGCAAGAAATGTATTTTGATTATAAAAACGTTTTTAGCTTTATTAAAATCTGTATTTACTAAAAATGTTAATTTTAAACTAAGTTGAGATGATATGTATGTATATATGGATTTTCATGTTTTTCTATTTATTTTTTTATTTATTTAAGATTTTATTTATTTGAGAGAGAGAGAGAGTGTGAGCAAGAGAGCACAAATGATAGAGCACAAGCAGGGGGAGGAGCAGAGGGAGAGGGAGAAGCATACTCCCCTCTGATCAGGGAGCCCATCGTGGGGGCTCCATCCGAGAACCCTGGGATCATGACCTGAGCCAAAGGCAGGTGCTTAACTGACTGAGCCACCCAGGCGCCCCTGTGTTTTTATTTAATAATCTGCTAAAAACCATAGCAATGCTCAATTTAGGATCACATTTGGAAGCACACTGTTGCTTTTTCCTCCATTATTATAGTATTTTTTCCCCTCCATTATTATAGTATTTACAACGAAGTATAGGTTGTCATTAAGGGTTAAATTTATTTACATCTGAAGCCCCATTCCACCTTGAACAAAATTAGCTATTTGCCTTGAACATAAGTTATGTATGTTTTAGTACTTTCCTGTATATAAACACAGTCCAAAGAACTAGGTAATATTGCCAACGGCTTGAAGTTCACTGAAGAAATTCAGTTACACAAAAAGTCCATTGGCGCAAAGATACCAGATGTGATACATTTCAGAAGACTTAAAAACTGGGGAAGAGATATGTTGTGAAGAAGTGATATTGCCTCTTACAGGCAGAACCTCTGGTCCCAGAGCTCAGTTCTCAGAGGCATTTATGGGAAATGAAAGAAAACACGCCTTCCCTTCTGAACAACAGAAAGTAGAAGTTGGTGAAGTTTGGTGAGACTGGCTAAAGTCATTGTCAGAGAACTATGAATTCGTACCTGTGAGGTAGGTGTTGTGTGAGGAATTGATGAAATAGTGAGAAAGGGGCTGAGACATATCTTCATTCAAATCCAGTTTCTCAGGCGAAACGACTCCATTTTCTTCTCCACTCAGATAGCGCATAAAGCCATCCACTGATATCTGTCCTGGAGGAAATGAAGAGTTAAGAAGAATGTGAATGAGTCCATTCTATGGGTTGCTGGTATCATGCTGCTTGAACTTTTTTTTCCCAGAAAACTCTGGTGCATCCAAAGTAGAAGACCATAGCCACAGTTGCATTTTAACATGGATAATAATAGTCAAGGATTATGTTATTTCACAATTATCTCCCAATGCCACAGATACTGGAGAAAACTGTATTTACGTGAACCTCACTGACATTCAGAGGATTTAAATACCTAACACCAATCTCTTGTTTTTAAATTAAAAATGGTTATCAACTTTATGGATGGACATCAAAATGTTATTAGTGCTTATCTCTGGGTAATACAATTAGGAGTGAATTTCCAAATTTTCTGTTTTGTATATATATTACTATTTTTTTCCTAAAGATTTTAGGAAAATCTATCTTTATCAGAGAGAGACAGCAAGAGAGAGCATGAGCAGGAGGAGGGTGAGGTGCAGAGGGAGAGGAAGAAGCAGAACCCCTGATGAGCAGGGAGCCCGACACGGGGCTCTATCCCAGGACCCCGGGATCATGACATGAGCCGAAGTCAGACTCTTAACCGACAGAGCCACCCAGGCACCCCTATATGTTCCTTTTATAATCAAAAAAGTTATTCATGAGTGTTTTATTATTTAAAATCAAGCGGAAGTGTTTTCAGTTAATGATCTTTTTCTCTGAAACAGAAACTACAGATGACCACAAATGAGTCTGTCCTAGAAATAAAAAATCAAATGCTCATAAACAAGGAGGTCTTTAAATTTCTTATTTAGAATGACTTTACTTCAAATGGAAGAAGTATGACTCACACTTTAGGTTTACTTGGGTCCTATTTAGAATTTTTGCTTTTGTTGTAACCTTTCTGAAGTGACTAATGCTACATATTGAGATAATCCTTTATCTTTATCGCAGTAATCTTTATGGAATGCCCAGAGAGGCCATCCTCACTATTTTGATCCATTACCACAGTTTGTTTCTTCATCCTTAACAATCAGAGCCTCAAAAGCCCCAGCACATTTGTGAGCAGTGGAGATGTTACTTGTAAACCCTGGAGGGTAGCATTTCTTTCTTCTTGTTGAAAGAGTTTTGTATTAACATAATAGTGTTATATGTTCACTGATAAAATATTAGGCAATGAGATGAACACAAAGGAAAACTAAAACTTTTCTAAACATGCCTAACTCTTTCTTCAGACCTAGGTGCTGTCACAATCTTGGTGTGTATGCTTCCAGGAAAAAAAAATGGGTGTGTGTGTGTAATTTTTTTTATGAAGGTGCAATCATTTAGTAACTTTATTAGATTAACCTTAATTAGATTAGTAACCTTTGTATTAGCGGAACAATATATGATAAAAATTGTCATGTAATCTATAATATTTGTATTTTTTAAGATTTTATTTATTTATTTGACAGAGAGACAGCGAGAGAGCGAACACAAGCAGGGGGAGTGGGAGAGGGAGAAGCAGGCTTCCCGCTGAGCAGGGAGCCCGATGTGGGGCTCGATCCCAGGACCCTGGGTTCATGACCTGAGCCAAAGGCAGACGCTTAACGACTGAGCCACCCAGGTACCCCGATATAATATTTGTATTTTATATGTATAAGATATGTAACCATAGCAAGACTAAGTAATATTCCCTTATCATTAGACATTAAAGATGTTTCTAGTTTTTCACTAGTATAAATGACGTTGTTGAATACTGTGTTGGTTAAATTCTTTGTTCAAACTCTTAGTTATTTCCTTAGGATGAATTCCCAGGAATAAAACAGCTGGTTCAAAGACTATGCACATTTTTAAGGCTTTTAGTATATACAACCAACTTGCTTTCTGTTAAAGTTCTAGCAAGTTACTCTTTCATCAATGTTTTTTCCTTCTCTTCACCTCTATACCAAACTTGTAGTTAAAAACATGAGATATAATAATTCTAATTTTTATTGAACATTACTCTTGAATGATAAGAGGTGTGCCATCTGCAAGTGTCAAATCTAGTATTGACTATTTACCACAGTATAAATCTTTTATTTATTTATTTATTTGAGAGAGCGTGAGGGGAGGGGCAGAGCGAGAAGAAGAGGAAGAGGCAGACTCTCTGCTGAGCGTGGAGCATGACGTGGGGCTCGATCCTGGGACCCCAAGATCACAGCCCAAGCCGAAATCAAGAGTCAGACACAATTGGCTGAGCCACACAGGCACTGCTGTAAATCTTTTCACGTCCAATAAATTTTTCAAAATAACTGATGAATATTTTTCCCAATTCTGGAAATGTTAGAGCTAAATTGCCTTTAATATTTTCCAGGAATGAGTAAACCAAAAAAATAAATTTGGTCACTGGGTCTTGATGAGTGGAGCTGGGTTTTATAAAAAGAAAAATCTTCCTAAACAAGTGGAAATAAGAATAGTAATTTGACTGTGAACTTCTTAAAAGTCAGCTCTAACATATACCTTGATAATTTCAATAATGACAAAAGGAAAAAGTGTTAAGAAGGTCTCATGCATTAGAAATAAGAAATGGGACATAAAGGTCCTCATACTGCTATGTTTGTGTGAAATTTTTTTAAAGATTTTATTTTTAAGTAATCTGTATACCCAAAGTGGGGCTCAAACTCATACCCCCGAGATTAAGAGCCACATGCCCCAGTGACCAAAACCACTAGGCGCCCCTGTTTGTGTGAGTTTTTAATAGATGCCATAGTTTGTACCTCCAAATAAATCACCATCACCTAACAAAGTGATTGTTCTGAACACACTACCATTGATGAGAACCCTTTGGTTACTGAGCTTGAAGCCTTTGTTTTAAAATTCATTTATGGTGAAATGCATATATCCTGTCAGACTGGTTTCATTTTGGAAACAAACCAAAATCAATGCCACTTAGAGTCAAAGGTATTTCAACAGATGGCTTTAAAAACAATTTTGGAGTATACAACTCATTAGAAATAAAAAAAAAACTAATTTTTTCATAGTCTTCCTTTCTTCTGTGACACATCCATCTGAGCAGCTTCTCTAACTAGTGCCCATTCCTCCCTCCTTCTTTCCTTCTTGCTTCTCTCATTACCTTCCACTTTGCTACCGTCTTGTTTAACAAAGGTTCATTGAACATCTGCCATGTGATGAGTCCACAGAAAAATAAAGTACAGTGAATTACAGCTCACAATCTCATAGAAAATAAGATCATTCATGCCTTGCAAACCAGGTGTGAACTCCTCCAAAGCAGGGTGCACATTTATATCTTTGTCATCCTTGGAATCTACCACAGTGCTTTGTGCACAGTAGGTGTTAAATCAGTCCTCTTTTTTTTTTTTTTTTTTTTGGCTGATTAGTGATTCAAAATAGGAAATAAATTCATTTCCCAAATTGGAAGATCCCAAGGAGAGCATCGTTTTGATTCTTTGATCTGATCAGGTCAAATCATATGAAATTGCTAATTTTGGCATTTTTAACCTATGCAAATGACAATTTCATCCAGCTCATTCTCTAACTCCAGTTATTTCTCAGAGGTCAGGCAGTAAGGACAAGTGTCTTTAGAGGCCAGCAAAGAAAAAGTAATGTGACTGATGGAATAATGTGCACATCAGGGAGCTGTGGAGTGTGGAAAACTCACAAGTGTATGCTCCTTCTGAAGGCACAGAACCGACAGCAATAAAATATTGTGGGACTAAACCAACTGTTTTTACGGTGCTGGTGACTCTCAGGCTGTCATGTCTGTTATCTTGCAGGAATAAATATCCTTTGGTCCGATCAGCAACTTTAGAGAGCAATTAGAACAAAACATGCCAATATGGTGAGGATGACTAATGTTAACTTCAGCATCAATGCTCATTTATTGTGTCTAGTGCCTTCTGGGGACTTACATTGAGAAGAATTTGGAGCCACACTTATGATTAATTTTGATGTGTTTTATGGGTGCAGGACAGGGAAGTGGGGGGTGCATAAGCTATGCATTTGTTTTTCTCAAACGAGGATATTATAATTAAGGTCAAGTTATACTTTACAATATGCCAAAGAACATGTGTCACACTTATATTTAATTCATTAATGAGAAAACCAGGAAGATGACAAAACTATTTCAAAGAGGGCTCTGAGACACTAGGGCATACATCTGTGTGTCAGCACAGTATCCAAACAAAAACCCCCAAATCTATAAAAATATTGCTAAATTGAATATAAAGCTGGTTAATGTTCTATAGGTCAATTAAACATAACCTTTGGTTATCTTCCTACCTTTATTATTTCATAGGAGTTGATTTTAACATAATTTTTTAGTTTAGATTAAAATCAGTAAAAAAGTAGTAAGAGTTGAGTGAGTCAGTATTTGTGAGGACTATTTATAATTAATTATATCAATTAATTAAAAAATCCCCAGTGAAGGAATCTACCTAACTTTGAATAAGAACAATGCAAGAGTTTGGAGGACAGTTCAGAATATGATTGCAGGCTGCAGGTGAGCAGCCACCTGGGAGCAACTTTTCAACCCCAAAGCTTGGCTTTGTTAATAAAGGAGCCAATATGCAAGGCTTTTGATGCATAAATGACTAGGCAGAGATATACCAAAGTCAAGAAAAGTCAATGTAATAGTAAGGAAAAGGAGTAGTAGGCTTGTAAGTCGTGAGGGTCAGGAGTACATTTGCAAAAATGCAGATTTTTTTTTGGCATAATGAATTGGCTTAAAAAATAGTTCTGACTGGCTTTGGGACAGAAAGCAGACTCTTAGAGAGTTTTCCTTTGTTGCATATAACCTACAGTTGGATTATTGCTATTGCTGTTGACTTAAATGTATCAGTCCTTCTTTCTCCATCAACACTGTACTGTTTTTGCAAAACTGCTTACATTTTTTTTCCTGGTCCACCGAGGAGCATAGAAAAATGAAAAATCTTGAGAATTAAGATAGGAAGCATTGCTTTTCTAAACAAATTAGTAACAGAGCAAGAAATCTAGCTTCCATTTCTGTCAGCGGTAACTGATCAGGGACAAATTCCTCAACCACAG